TTTTCGGCGAGGCGGCACCTTCTGGCGGGTGGCCGATGCTCTTCAGATGGCCGGGAAGCCTGCGGGGAAGTCGAGGTAGGGCCAAAGCGCGAGAAACATACCTGCCATTGCTGCGCTTTATTTAACCACATTTTGGTTCGCGAAGTGTAATTTCACATGTTCTGAGGAATGGAGGCTATCACCTATTAAACTTGAACAAAACCACGTACGGCCTTATTGGAACCTTATCCAAGGCGCATTCAGGGATAAATAGCCCCCCTCCGCGCCGCAGAAGGCTTCAGGAAACCGGCCGAAGCGTCTGCCAGATGTTTCTTGGTGCCAAGCGCTAAGCTTGGGAGACTCAAATGCGGGTTGAAGAGGTTGGGGAGACATCACTTTCAGAATAGCTGGAAGGGTCACGGAACTGTGGGCAGCCTTAATGCCAAACTCGTTGGATGGTTTGGGGGTCGGACCCTTCAATGACGTTATGACGTTGCGCGGGCGTTGGGCGCCTGAGAAATGATTAGCAAAGCGGTTGGCTTTCACCTTAGCCACAGCCAACGGGCTGCCACTTTCCGGATACGGCCAAGTGCTGAGGGTCTCAGACTTCCAGCACTAGCTTTAGCTTGCCAAGTCTAGACTTGATATTGCCAATACTTACTTTCAGATTCCCACCGCGCGCTTTAGTACTGCCAAGTGTAATTCACAATTGCCAAGACTTACTCTCAGATTCCGAGTGTTTGCTTTAGCATTGCCAAGTCTAAATGTACTATTGCCAAGACTTACCCCTTGATGTAGTTTTGCAAACTCCGAAGACTTACTCTAACATTTTTGGTATTGCCAATTCTAATCAATTCTAAATTTAGTGCTGCTAAGGCTTTGACCTTTGAGCTGAGAAGAGCTTAGGCTGAACCGCCCATTAAAAGTAAAAGGCTAAGGTCTTGATCTGGAAATTTTGCAACAGAACAAAAGCCAGGCGTTAAAGCAAGCCGCAAAGCAGTCAGTCAGATTAAACAGAATCAGAACCAGGGTCTCTTGTGAGCAAACCCCTTTGCGGGACTGTTTGGCCTTTCTTCTTTTTCCTTAAAGAGTGTGTCTACACTGCGCAGGCTCGTGCCACGTGGTGGGCATTAGTGTCTTTTCTAGGGTGGCGCTCGCGTGCGAATTCCGAAAATGGCTGATTGGTGAACCCTCTGCAGACTTTAGGCGGGTTGGTGCGCAAGATCTCTTCAAGGATCTCTGGGCAGGATCTCTTGGCAAGATTTGTGCACATAATCCTTGAGAGGGTGTGCGAGACCTCTTCAGAGGATCATCCTTGCACAGGACCAGCGCGCAATATCTATGGCAGCGTAGTTGCTGGATCTTTGCGGGATCTCTGCCTAGCTGTCTTGTTGGATTCATAAAAGGATCCGCTATGCCCCCTGTCAGCATCCACAAGATCTCTTGCAAGAGTATCTCTGCAGGAGAGCGCGCAGAGGGTTCACCTTCGATTTTGCGCCGCCGGGCCACAACCAGAGCGATGCCACCCACCCGAAGTCTGCAGAGCGTTCTGTGTCGAATGTCCCCCAAAGTAATAGGTTACTGGGAAACTAATCAAAATAATGTTTTTTAGTAGGGCTCTCCCTATGTGTACGCAAATCGGCCATCGAATGCGCCTAGGCCACCGCCACGGAGGATCCCCCCAGCGACGTGGCGCAGCGCTCCCAGGCAGTCGGCTTCCGGCTTTTGACGGGTTCTTGGTGTCATTCTAATCAGTCGTTTTGTGACAGATGGAGTCGCCATCAAGTAAAGTGAGTTTCTCTCCAGCTGAGCGGACCGCAAAGACATTTCCTTTCTCCCTTAAACCCATTTGACTCCCTGTCCAGCTTTGCTGGTTTGCCAGCTTTCGCTCCGTGTGGTCCTTCCCTTGGGAAGATCATGGAATCCTTCTCCAGAGTTTCCTCAGTCAATGATGCTTAGCATGTGTGAACCCTGGTATGAAACCGCAGTTCGTCGGTTAATTAACCGCTAGTTATGGCTTTTCAGTTGGTGGCGCAAAGCCTTGTAGGTTCTTTACTTGCACTTTTAAAACAGGTTTGGAACTAGAAGGTGATGCTTTGGGAAAGGTGGGCAACTGTAGAATGAACGTGGATGGCACAACCCGCTAAGAGGTTGAAACCAACACGGAGCTGTCTACTTGAGCCAAATCCCCAGAGCTGAGCAAGGCCCTGCTTTCCAGTGTCACATTTCCTGACACAGCTAACCTCTAACATACATACATATGTAATATCTACCTTTGTATTTTTGACATACGTTATGTGCCCTTGCAAGAGGAGAATGATCGCCTGTCTATCTTTATTTCTTGGAACGCAGGTGATCCTGATTCGGTAATATCTACCTTTGTATTTTTGACATACGTTATGTGCCCTTGCAAGAGGAGAATGATCGCCTGTCTATCTTTATTTCTTGGAACGCAGGTGATCCTGATTCGGTAAGGGACTTTGGCCTACTCGTTCGGTATGTTTGTTCCTCTAGGCTCGAGGGGCTTTCTGTGCACCTCCATGTTGCTAAAAGCTGAACGAAACAAGCCAACGAACAAAAATCGAACCACAGAGCACATGTATTTTATTCACCCGGCATCGCCCCAACTTAGAACCGTGAGCCCCATGGTTTCTTGTGGGTCCGTTCTTGCTGGTTTCGGAGGCAGCGCTGCTCCGAGAAGTGGGGCGTGTGAGCTACCAGCACTTCATGGCGGGATCGCGAGCCGGGGTAGATACCGTCGCGCGCTTCGGACCACAGGACCATTTTAAACCTTAGGGCTCTTCTCAGTCCACAAGGAGGGACCTTGGAAAGAGGCAGAATAAGGCAGAACAAAGCCGCCCGCCGTCGGTTCCTGGGTAAGGTCCCTGATTCATTGATTCAATCAGCAAGTAATGGCAATACCGCATATCCTGGGTTTGTCTCAAAATTGGGGCCCACCCAAAATGGCAATGGCTTGCTTTTGTTTAAAACCAAGCAGCAGGCAACCATACCCGACTAGGAATCTACAGAGAGACATGACGCATGTGATATACCCAAACTTTCTGCATGCTCAGGTCATTTGGGGAGCGGGTAGCCTGGGGACCGCTTGGCATTCCGTTGTTAGTTTCACTGGGGGTGTTGATAGTTTCACTAAGGTGTGGAATGTCAGAGTCTTTGTTGAAATCATGGGAGATGGGCGGTTGGGACTGCCATTCTCTTGAAGGCCCCTTGTCTTCCATAAACCTACAGCATGCTAAGCAAGAACTGCAACCAGGTAATAGTACCGGAGGTTGCTGGCCCTCTGGCTCTCGCAGTGATTTTGGCAGACGAAACTTTTTGGAATGGGGTGGGGGGGGGAGGTCGCAAGCCCATTTGGCATCAAACAATGAAATGTATTTTTATAAATAACTACGGGATCCAAAACATTTTACTCAGGTCCCCGGATTTCACAGTTCCATTGGTGTCTCGTGGTTCTCTTGGTGCTGTCCCTTGGTGTCCTAGCCCTTGAGCCAACCCAAACCAGCCTAAACCATTTCAAAACCAACCCAAAAACCATGAACCCACCCTGAACCCACTTTCAACCCACCCTCAACCAACCCAAGACCAAGCCTAAAACCGTCCCTGAGACCCCAAAAGCGGCCACCCTTTACCCACAACCTTCAAACCACCAATTTGGAGCCAACCTAGCACCTATCTCCACCTCAAACCCAGCCTGAAGCCCATATCAATTAAACAACTACACGGCCAGCCTGAACCAACCATAGGCAAACCCTGACTCAATCCCGCCAACCTCACACAAGCGTTTTTCCAGGCTTCAAACCCGACCTCAAACCAACCCTAAGCCCGCTCTCCAAACAAACCTCAGACGCCTCAGCCCGAAAACCAGCGAAGAACCTTAAACTAATTGCGCTCTAGGCCCAAACCAAAGCCTAGCTCGTTATCGTCGCAAAGGGGGACTGACACATGTGCCTCCTTTCGTCCCGTGCAAGGCGCCAAACATTGCATTCCACCTTTCGGCTTCCTCCGGGGCCCTTTGCGGCTGCAACGTGGCCCCTGGCCGCTAGCCGATAGTTTGTTTTCAGACCCTTCTCCAAAATCATCGTTGTTCGCAGAAAGCAAAGCAACTTGGGAACGCGAACATTGCGACGGCCTGCCCAGCCGGCGCCTGTGGCTGCAGATCCCCCATTGTGTTGTGCTAGACCACCCGCATCGTTGTCATGTGCGCCGCATTTTGTGGCAACTGCTGTGACTCATCCCCCTCCCTGATGCTAGTTGGACGCTTCTTTGCCGCCGGCTGTGCCAGAGGCCACTTGATTTCAGCATACTTTTTTTACAGCCGGGCGTATTCTTTCTCGTGCCCGTTGCGTCACGTGCCACTGCTGTCTGCCAGTTCAGCGGATGCTTTGACTGGGCAAGTGCTGACTGTCGATCGCCTGCAAATCCCTTGCGCGAATCACATTGCTTATGCTTGCAGATATGGCTTTGCCGCCCCGCAGTTCTCGTGACGAGTATTGGCTCAGCGTTTTCGTCTTGCTTTCTTGGGGTAATTAACGGTCGCGGGTTCGCTTCGGTCCTAGTTGCCGGATCGCTTCGGTCCTAGTTTTCATCTCGCTTCGGTCCTAGTTTCCTTACTCGCTTCGGTCCTAGTTTCTCCGCCGTTGACTATGGGTTGAGGGGTCTGTAACAGAGCCGCGGCGGACATTCGTTACAGACCTCGTTACAGACCTCTGTAAGAAAACCAGCTGGCTCGTTACACACCCCTCGATACACACCCTTGTTACACATCCTCGTTAAACGCCCTCGTTACACACCTCAGCTGAACAAACCGGGCCAGTGACGTGACTGCCCTGTGTTTGCCGCAGCTTGGCTTGCGCTGAATAGCTGCAATCAAGTGCTTTGCTTTGCCTCTTCACAGACCTCGTTACATAGCCGTTACATACCTCGTTACAGACCCAACTCGGCATGTCTTGTTGTTCGGTGTTTGAGAGGCAACATCCTTGTCGACCCCACCCCACCCGGCGTGTCTTGTTGTTAGGTGTTTGAGAGGCAACATCCTTGTCGACCCCACCCCGCCCGGCATGTCTTGTTGTTAGGCGTCTGAGAGGCAACATCCTTGTCGACCCCACCCCGCCCGGCATGTCTTGTTGTTAGGTGTTTGAGAGGCAACATCCTTGTCGACCCCACCCCGCCCGGCATGTCTTGTTGTTCGGTGTTTGAGAGGCAACATCCTTGTCGACCCCACCCCACCCGGCATGTCTTGTTGTTAGGCGTCTGAGAGGCAACATCCTTGTCGACCCACCCCACCCAGGCATGTCTTGTTGTTAGGTGTTTGAGAGGCAACATCCTTGTCGACCCCACCCCGCCCGGCATATCTTGTTGTTAGGTGTTTGAGAGGCAACATCCTTGTCGACCCCACCCCACCCGGCATGTCTTGTTGTTAGGTGTTTGAGAGGCAACATCCTTGTCGACCCCACCCCGCCCGGCATGTCTTGTTGTTAGGTGTTTGAGAGGCAACATCCTTGTCGACCCCACCCCACGCGGCATGTCTTGTTGTTAGGTGTTTGAGAGGCAACACCCTTTGCGTGTGTCCTGTTGTTAGTGCTCAAAAAGCTATCTTCCACTGCGCCTGAAGTGATCCAAAAATTGCGACAGAAGTGATCCGCAAATGCTCAAACTACGACCAAAGTGAGTGGATTTCAGCTGCGACCAAAGTGATCCAAAAACTGCGACCAAAGTGATCCCCCAACCTAATTAACCGCCTGAGTTGCATCAATGCAGCCGGCGCCCTGGGCTGCATGGAGCGCGTGCAGGTGTGAAGTGGCTCAAAGGTTTCCGCAGGCCGGGTTATGAAAAGCGTGTCTGGCATCTTGAGGCTGAATGTCAAAGAAACGAGGTCTTTGACGCTGGCTTCCGTGAAACATGCTTTTGCAAACACATGTCTCGTGCGGCAGCCTGAAACCTAGTGGGCGCGCAGCAGCAGAAGCCCGTTGGCACCGGATGAACGAAGACGCGCAGTCAATGCTGAAGTCCTTAGCTAACCACTGGGTTCCGAAACAATCTAGGAGGTCATGGGCCATGGGTCAACATTTGCACTTGCAAGCTCTCTTGTTGCCCCGTTCACGCCCTCGCATTGAAGTGAAGCATCTGTAGTGAAAACCCGCATGGACTCGCTTGACAGCTTTGACTTGACAAGAGTTCAAGGTGAAATCTTCCCAGAGCTGAGACAAAGCGCTTTGCAATGTTCGACGCACAAGGCAAGACACGTCCATGTCTTTTTGCTGTGGCCCCGAAACTCAAGACAAGGAAGCGGCTTTGGGGTTGGACTTGTGACCAGCGGGCTCAACTACACCTGGTCTTGTCCAACTGAGCACTACTACACCACCAGCTGCGCAAACCGTTAGCCTCAGGGCAAGATCTTCGTCTCGGTCTCAGGCGCTGCGTGTTGCTGCTATTCTTGCAGTATTTTCAAACGCCGCCACGGGCAGATCTAAAGCGTCAAAGGCCGCTCTCACGCAAGCCCTTGTGCCCCGAGGCAAGCTTGCTACGCCTGCGCCAGTCCCGATGCTTCTGATGCGCTTCAAGCCTACGCAAGCAGGCCCGCAAAAAGCTGGCGAGAATCCCGGACCGAATGCCAGGCAGCAGTCCAGGCCCAGTTCCCAGTTTCGGCAGCAAACCGACAACTGCAAACCCGTCACGTCTTCAAGCGCCACAGCAACCCCAGCGCTCCAAACCCCTCCCGTCATGCCACCCCGCCACCAAAGGCTCCAAGCAATCCCAATTTGAGACTGACAATCTTGCCAACGCCATGCCCAAGCACCCTCCAGGAGTGCTGGGCCCGGGGCGGATTGGGGGGGGGGGCGTGGGCAAGTGGGCCTGTCTGCGCGGAGGCTGCTGGGGGGCAGCAGCGTATCGCTTGTTGCGATGGCCCTTCCTTGCAAGATGTCAACGTTTGTACTTTACGTGCATTTGCATGTTAACTGCTTTTGCGCATGTTGCTTCCGGGCCAGGTACGGGACCCACGGAGCTCTCGAACACCCTGACTGCGAAGCTGGAGCAGACATTGGCGCTTCTGCTTGGCAGAAAGGAACCAAGCAATGCCCCGGTGTGTTGTACCAGCACAAGGCACAAGGTTGCTGTGACGCAGTTTCTCTCTTATCTGCGCACAATGGATGGCAAATTGCCGGCGGATCGTCAGGAGCTAGCAGCTCGCGCAGCCGTGCGCCGGCAGCTTCATGCGCACACGCAAGCGTCTCCCGCGTTATTTCTTCCCAGTCATGTGTGAGCTGCTATATGCTACAGACTGGGCTGTGCTTTGTATTGTGCTTTTGTGCCTTGGGTTTTGGCTGTAGTTTCGTTTGGAAGTTTGAAGCTGAACTTGGTGCAATTTTCCGACGGCTGGTGCTTCTGCTACATTTTGAAGCTAAATTTGAAGGTTACCTGAGCGCATTGTCCACACCGCGCCATGCCATTGTTTGAGCATATATTTGTTCAGCAAGTAAAAGGCAAAGCCGTAAATCATTTGCCATGAATCCGTAAACGAACTAAGCATGACACACATAATGCGCACGCTGCAAAACAGGGGTTTTGAAATACAGCTATGTCGCTTTCAAAACAAAAAGCCGCGTGTGTCAGAGCTACGTTTGGGGGCTATCGCAGACGACGCAAAAAGCTAAAAACTAGCGCCCACGTGTTTTCCAGAAGGCCTGATTGATTTGTTTGGGCGACGGAAA